ATTCTTGGCCCATTTCTCTAACCTAACAAGTTTATTCTGAATTTTACTTCCTTTAGCATTATCCCAGTTGTGTCATCTGTTAATTCAATAAGCATTTCTTCAACCTACACATGCAAGTCATTAATAAAATTTATTTTGCAAATTGTATTTACAAGTTTTATTAATAGAAGTTAATAAAAATACTGAAAGGCCCAGGACCAAACCTTAGCCCTGCCCCCTCAATACCTCACCTAGTTTGATGAAGAACCTTTGATGAACACTTTTTGAATATAATTTTTGAGGCAGTTATGTATCCATTTAATTGTTGTGCCATCAGGCCACATTTTTCTAGCTTGCTAATCAGAATGTTGTTCAGTGCTTTTATTGAATGCCTTGCTGAAATAATGCTATGTCCATACTATTTCCACAATAAATTAAGGAAGTTACTTGATTGAAGAATGAGTTAAAGCTAGTCTGGTAAGATTTGTCTTGATAAATCCTGGCCGAGATAGAGTAATTACTGTGTTTTTTTCAAGTGCTTGCAGATAAAGCTGTTTATGATCTGCTCTAGAATCAATATGACTGGTCTACAATTCCTGGATTTCTCCTTTTCCCCCTTTCAGAAGATAATAGCCTTCTCTAGTCATCTGACACTTCACTCTCCCAAGAATCTCAAAGATAGTATATAAAAGTTCAGCTAAACCTGACCTTCGTTCAGCATCATACATACAATTAATCTGGCTCTGGAGATTTATAGAAAAAATTAATAGGTATTTCCTGATCATGTTTCTGTCATTGTCAGGCTTAAATTCTGCTCTGTATTCGCCTTTAGCGTCTCTTAAAATCAAGAATTCCAGCATTACAGTCATTTTCTCTCAGTGTTCCTACTTTGTCTTCTTTGACTAAGTCTTCCCTACTTGTTAGTATCAAATTAAGGATAGCTGACGCTCTTGTGCCTTTCTTCAGAGACTGAAGGAGAAAGCTGTCAGTTAGACAAAACAGGAATTTTCTGGAAGGACCTTGCTCAACAGAATTTGTTCCCTAACACTATTACTTCTTGTCCCTTTTGAAAGATTTGCAATTGGCTTTTGGAAAGCATTATCCACATTATCTTCTTGGTTGGGTGGATAGACAATTGATGCAAATTACATGCATTCAGATTTAATGAAACCCCTCCCCTTGAAAGATCCGTTAAACTGAAGTTTTACCATGATACCAAGTTCATTAATTGGCTTTCTGTGCAGATGTGGATACTTTTAACGTATGTGATTGATTCCTTATTCTTTTCTGTTGTTTCTGTTCATTTTGTACAAACTACATCCTTCAGTTACTATATTCCAGTCACGAGAGGCATCCGACCAACTCTCTTTCATACCTAATAAATCATATTTACCTTCCTGTACTAAGAGTTTAAACTCATTTATTTCTCATACTTTGAGCATTAATGTACAGTGCAACAGTCAATGAAGGCCATGAATTTAATATGCTAATATTTTTGCCTTTTCAGGTCAATATCCTTCAACATTTTTATTGAATATTATGGTAATATTCCTTCTTCCTTCTACATCATACAAGTATTTATCTGAGATCCTTATTTCAGATTTTTAATTTCAATCCCCATAGGATTTGGTTTTCTCCAATGAACTTGTTCCTTCCTTGTCTTAAGGAGATTGCTTCCTCTTTCAGCTCCTATTCCAGCATCTCCTTTGATTGGGTAACTCTTGATCTTTTCTGTTCAGCCAAAGTACAGACACTTGCTGCTCCAATACTCTGATTTCTTCTTCAAGCACGAAGTCTGCTCTTGTTACAAAAATATGCCAGGTTGTTTTTGAATAGAAAGACAAACATGCCACAAGCATAACACATCACAAACGCAGCTTCTTGTACGTTAAATCTTTTATTTCTTCTTGTTCCATTCTCAGGCTCTCAGATTAGACAATTAGATTCTATTAACTTGGAGTGAAGATTTAGTAAATTTTCCAAACTTCTGCTTGCTGTCCTCTTCACTCATTAAGCTCACTCTCTAGAAACTGGCAGCCTTATATTCCTATCACAGTTTCTGCTTACTCGGTCAGAAGTGGTCAATCACCCTCTTTGGGCAATAGACACACCCTTTGCAATAAGTAGCTATTAAAAGATGACATGTTTGCCTCCCACAGTTCAGCATACAGTACAGTTCTTTAAAGTGCACATCTTTTCTGGCCACTTTCCTCTTTTCCCGATCTCTTCTTCCTGTTGAATTCTACTGCAGGCTCTGCAAGCCGTCCTCGTTAGCTCCACAGCTCTTCAGCTCCATAGCTCTTCCATAAACCAGTACAATGCCCCAGATCTGCAGGTGAGGATGAAGATGGCAATAATAATGTAAATGCAAACAAGCAATAGCATAACAGGTACACAGATCAGCTAAAGTAACAAAAAGATGGGGGAATGCCTTGCTTAGCAAACATAGCCATTTTAAAATCTGTCATTAGGTATAGTTCCCATTGTTATAGAAACAATTAAAACAGTAAACTATTGGACCAAATCTTGATACACCACTTTTTTCTCTTTCCAAATGCTGCTAGCATCCTACTATTGGTCCAAAACTCAAAATTACTAGTTCACAGGGCATTATCCTAATCTTATTGGGACTGCCAATTCCCTTACTAAGCAAGAGTCATTAAGTGAAATGTTACGTCACTTCGTCAGACTTATGTCAGTTCTGCTGTGGTCATTAAGCAAATCATGGCAGGTCATTTAGTGTGACATCATGTGACCATGACTTGTGACTTCCTGCCGGCTTCCCTATTGACTTTGTCAGAAGCCAGAT